TCCTCGAGAGCCTGACGAAGCTGATCTTCGGTATATTGAGGCATTATATATAGAAGAAGACATGTGCAAAAGATGAGCCCATTTGGACGCGAATTGAAAATGTTGTGATAAAAGGAGGTTGGGGGTGGGCATTGGGTTGTGGTGGATTTTCGCGTTTTTGTGGGTGCCAGAAACAGGGGGGTGCCAGGAAGTGGGTATGTTGACTTACTCGCTAGATCTTGCGAGCAATGAAGTTGAACCAATTTTTTGCATTTGCTTCCAAGTTGTCTGGAAATCGTAGGTAGAGCAAGAATCAAGCCACTTTGACTTCTTTTCGACGTCATATCGGTGTGCTATAGAGGCCGACCAGCGAGTTGCTAATGCTCGTGCTTTCGCGCTCAAATGGGCCTCATTTTCATGATGCTTGTTGAGCAACAAATCGACCTCCTCTTTGATTGCCGTGGACCATAGGACAAGATCAGACTGGAAATTTTTGATGTCTGAGTCGTTGAGGGAAGTTGTCAATTGGCCAAAGGCTGATTTCCGGGCGAAAGACTGAACTCGGTGGCAGATATGAGTGACGACGATAAAATACTCGCAGAGATGGTTTTGCAGCTCTTTGGATTTCGGATAGACCAAAGCTAATGCCTGATGGCGCGGTGCTTGTCTACCAGCAGCCATGAATAGGAGGGAAAGTTTCTCCAGATACGAGGAGAACCCGATACAAATCTTGAATGGTCAGTAAGACATAGTAAGACCTGCTTGATTAACCCACATGCAAATACACTTACATGTAAGGTCATCCTGACTGCTGCCCATACCCCGCAAGCGACAAGATTCTGGGATCCGCCTACCACGACGTCGCCTAAAGCAGCAAATTGTTGAACTGACTGGAGTAAATTCGTCAGACGAGGCCCAAAGCATCGGGAGGACAGCCGCTTCTGACGAGCTTGACGGTCAATTTCAGCCGTGAAACGCATCACATCGCCCTCGGTTGGGGACTTGGTGCATGCTGTAGAGCGCTCATTCCTGAAAGATGCCTTTTGTGGGGAGTCAAGCGAAGCTTCGAACTCCGAGACTGCTTGGGCTAATCGTATCTCTGGTTTCAAGAGCGAAGCATGACGCAACGCGAGCGCCATGATCATGGATGTAAGTGGTCAATGCACCTGGACTCGAGACTGAAAGATGTTGTGTCGGAGAGAGGTCATCAATTTATCGCCGCCTCTCAGCCTGATTTGTGTTGACTGATGTAACCAAGCGGGATCATGTGATGAATGCACTCATTAAGCCTTGCCATTGGGTGAATGCCATGCACCATCAATTGCTGTGCCCCTCGATGGCGAACCAGTCAATCCTCTTTAATAATAAGCACAATGCTGGGGGCATAGGGGCCTCTTTTCGTCATATCAGGCTGGGTACACACAGTCAGTTCGTGTAATATCACAGAACTGTTGACATAATACTAATCGGAAAATGAGGTTGTGGCTCGATTCTAGGCTGCAAAACAAAAGACGGCTGGTCGTCCGGCTTCATCACCGAGGATTCGTTTCACGATGAATTTTGTGTCATTCAAAGGCCCCAGTGATATAATTGCTTTGTCTGCGTGTCTTTCACACCTCAGCCAGACCGATCTTATCTACCCAGTATCAATACTGTACGTACAAGTACTGACTTTCTTACTATTTAGTGATAGTCTACAAATCGCCCATGCCCACCTCAGCACGTGATGTAAGCAATTAGATTTCTCTCAAGCCCAACTTGTCAGCACTTTTGACTTTACTCCATCTGTTCTATCGAAGCCTAACTTACCCGGCACTGAGCCAAAGATGCACAAGTAAAGATGGAGGTCCTCGCTCTCGGTCTTTCATGGGCACTGAACTACACGACCTCGTCGCAGAATATCCTCAATCGCTTCGGTCTAGCGTCTCTGACGGATGGGAACAGGGCATCCTCCGGGCTGCTCTCCACACACCTCTCACCAAAAGCGTCGGTCGTGCTTCCAAATGAACCCCTTTTTGATAATTACACAAACAGGTGGCGCGACTGGCACGCACCGGACGTTGGGGTTGTTGTCAATGTCTACACAGAGAGCGACATTCAAGTGACAGTATGTTCTGCGAAAGGCAGCCTTCTGCAGCCCTAATCGTTGTCTACAGATTCGTCATGCAAATGAGCAGGGCATTCCTTTCCTTGCCAGATCAGGTGGTCACGGCGCAACAGAGTCGCTGAGTCTAGCTAAGAATGTTGTGTCCATCGACCTTCGCGGCATGGACCAAATCGTCATCTCTGAGGATGGCGAGACTGCTACGATTGGAGGCGGAGCTAGTGTCAAGGAGGCTGTCAATACTCTGTGGGCAGCAGGCAAGCAAACAGGTGTGCCATCGCAGAAGTCCTTTCAAAACTCCAAGTTTTTGCTGACAACGAAAAGTGACAGGAATCTGTGAGTGCGTTGGCATTTCTGCCCCAGTTCTAGGAGGCGGTCACGGGTGGCTTCAGGGTCAGTATGGCCTGGCTTCGGACCAAGTCATCTCGGCCAAAGTTGTTCTTCCCGATGGAAAGCTTGTCACAGCGTCCAATTATGAGAATCCCGATCTCTTTTGGGCTTTGAGGGGAGCCGGCCACAACTTTGGCATCGTCACTGAATGGCAGTACCGAGTCCACGATATCAAGAACATCAAGTGGTCTTATCAGATATTTATCTATCTCGGGGACAAACTTGAGGAGATTCTCGATCTGACCAACGTTATGATGAAGACTCAGCCACCAGAAGTTACGCATTGGATGTATTTTGTAAACATCCCTGACATCGACCCCAATCGAGTAAGTGTAAAGTCCCGTAAGATGCTCAATTCCGAACAGGATTGCGACCGCTAAATGCAGACAGCCCATAATCTGGTACGCCATCATATCGGACGACACCTTCGAAAAGTCTACAGAGTATGCGAAGCCTCTCTATGACATTGATCATATAAATGTCGAAGCTGGTGTGGCACCTATGCCAGACTTGGCTGGCTTGACCTTCATGAGCAGTGATAGTGTCGGATGCGCCAAAGGCTACACGGGTCTGCGATACCCTATCGGTCTGAAGACCTATGATTTACCTGCCGTCCGGAAAGTGTTTGATGACATCGCCGACATGTCGAACCGCAACCCGGAATTTGCCGGGTCCTTCTTCCTCCTTGAAGGATATTCGACTCACGGCGTGAAAGCCATCGATGAGAGGAGCTAAGCCTTCCCGCATCGAGATGACGATATTCTGATTACGTCGTACATCATGTACAAGCCGAACGCGTCTCTTGATGCACTTGCTCAAGAATATGGAGAGAAGCTAAGAGGGCATCTATTAGCGGCAAGTCATGAGCCTGACCGCTTGACAGCATATGTAAATTATGCTCATGGAATTGAGTCGCTCGAGGCTATCTATGGATGGGACGAATGGAGGCTGGAGAAGTTGAGAGGGCTGAAGAAGAAATGGGATCCTCAGAACCGGATGAGGTTCTACAATCCTATTGTCTAAGGCTACAGGTTTAGTGTCTTCCTGGTTACCGTAGAGTAGGGGTCAAGACGTTAAGCAAAGTCTGGTGTGTAAGGTAAGTATAACATCCACCGCGAAGGCCAGGTCAGCCTCCCTACATCCGATCTTCTTTCGTGCTTGCTATAAGAAGTTTCCTCACAATTTTTCCTTCAGTTAATTCATAAAAAGTCTTTCGTTGCCTTCCTTTACTCTATACTACGTAGCTTTCCCTGCGATACGAAACCGCTGGAACATGTTACACATAACTCGTTCAAATTCTCCCCTCCGCTACAAGTGCTCAACTCAGGTGGTTTGCCTTGTTAGACCTCAAAAGTTTAGGATCGATCTCGAACTGGGAGAAATTGTCGACCAAGTCATCCCACATCTTGGGGTCGTGCTCATGCTTCTCTTTGCTGTTCCAGGCATAGTCGGTGATGGTGAGAGCTCGGCTTGTCTCGAACATGAAGGCGATGGAGCCGAGCGAAATCTGCATTTGAGGGGGATCTGCCTTGGATGCAGCAGCGAACTGCTCGTATGCGACGCCATGAGGCACAAACCCACACTCAAACGAGATACTTCCGGGCTGGAACTCATCGGATCGACCTCCGTATTCGCCATAGATCAGACCCATCAGCTCAGAAGCGCAGTTTCTGTGGTAATAGGGCGGGCGATAGGTGTGAGATGCAACGTCCCATCTAGGAGAGAAGATCAAGAAGTCGGCCAGGGGCGCAGCTGGATCTCGGGACTTGGCCGTCAAGACACAGAAGATTGACGGATCAATGTGGTCCACGGAGATGGAGCCCACGTTGACAAACTTGGTGAGATCATACTTGAACGGCACGTAGTTTCCATGCCACGCAACCACATCGAAGGGGCAGTGCCGTTGTGTGCTGTTGAAGAACTTTCCGCCGATCTTGTACACGATATTCCAGGGGTCTTCTTTCGTGACCTCGTATGCGGCAACCGGGTGCAAGAAGTCGCGCGCGTTGGCCAACCCGTTCGCTCCCAAAGGACCCAACTCGGGAAGCTCCCAGTTTGAGCCCCAGATCTCCAGGATGTATCCACGAGTCGGTCCTTCAACGTTCACCTTGAAGCGAAGACCACGCTGGATGACGCAAATCTCACCAGGCTGCACGTACAAGAAACCGAACTCGGTTTGGATGTCCAGAGCACCTTGCTGAGGCACAATGAGCCAGTCGCCGTCGGAGTTCGCAAAAGCTCTTTTCGTCATGCTCTTATTGCAGAGGTAGACATGAGTGGCGAGGCCCTCGCGAAGAGTTGGATCTCCAGAGCCGGCGACAGTCTTGAGACCATCGACAAAGTCCAGATCTTGGCCGTCAGGGATCGGGAACGGCTTCCAAGCCAATTGAGTGGGTGAAACGTGAACTCGGGGGTTGATCGGGATGAAAGTCGACTCAGTGTCTTTGTTATCGGGAAGATCGGTCTACAAGAGAAGAATCAGCGACAAATTGCAAGATTGATGAGGGAAAAAGGACTTACAAATCCCTGGTGAGCAACAGCTGGTCGCGACCGGTAGAGCCAAGCTTTCTTGTTGGAATGCCTGGGCGCGACAAAGGCCGAAGCCGTCACCTGTTCGGCGTACAATCCATATCTGATGCTTCTCGGGCTATTCTGGCCCCTTGGAATCGTGCCGGCGATAGCCTCTGACTCGAAGCTGTTGTTGAAGCCGGGCTGATAAGCGTACGGGTCGTTCGGGCGCGTCGCAAAGGAGGGGACTGCTCCGTCTTGCTGCGTCGCCGCCCAGTGGAAGGCGTTTTGGAAGTCCTTCGGCTTAAGATCTTTTGGCGCTGCCATTGTGACGTGAAGCTAGCTCTGAGAATGCGAGGAGGGGTTGCTGGATGAGGGGCTGACGATAACGACGGCTCAATGGAGCTATCTATCGCTTTTGTACGAAATGCTCCCCTGTCCATTGAGGAAAGCTTCACCCCACATGGAGCTATCTGAGCTTGGGCAGCTACTCCACACGGCCTTTGCGGCAGTTTGTACGTTGGAGCGTGTGGAGGCTCGGAGAGCTTCGTTGTCGTGCTGAGACGACCTGTGTGGGATTCCACTCCAGACATGTCTCTTAGTGTGCGGGGATGTGGTGTCTCTGTCATGACTGACAAAGTCGCCGAAGTGGGCTCGTGCTCCAATGCGGGCACAACGATTAGGTGTGCATAGTGTGTTCCGGATGAAGAAACACCACTTGTTATGAAAGGTGGCTATTAGAATGTTGTCTGCACAATTTCATATTGAGTTCGGTCAGGCAGGGCAGACTTTAATTGCTATCACAACGTGATTATACGCAATGTCGTTACTCAAGTTATTAAGTTTTCTTTCTATTTCCATAGTTGTAGCTCACTTTTACATCAAGAGCAGAACAACTGCCACTCCAAAGGGGTATAAGACCATTCCAGGACCAAAGGGGTGGCCTTTACTAGGCAACGCGCCACAGCTAGGTTCAGCACCACATCGACAAGTCCAGCGATGGGCTCAAGATTATGGCGAGATTGTCAAAGTCCGCCTCGGCTGGGAAAACTGGGTTTTCGTCAATAGCCCAGATGCCGTCCGCGAGATATTTGACAAACAATCGGCAAAGACCTCTGGAAGGTCACCAATGCCGGTACTCTCTGACCTTCTGTCCGGGAGCAACAGGCTCTTACTTTTGACTTACGGGTCCAAATGGCGACAATTGCGAACGATTGTGCACAAGCTCCTTACGCCAAAGGCTTCGGACACGTACAAGCCATCACAAGAGTTTGAGGCCAAACAACTCCTCTATGACATCGCGACCGATAACACAGATCAAGAAAGTTTCTACATGCATGTCCGCCGGTATACCACATCTGTTGTACTCACCAGTACATACGGACTTCGTGTTCCTAAATGGGTAAGTAGTTATTTATGTGTCAACTCTTCGAAGAGGAGGAAAGCTAACTCCTAATTTCAAAACACAGGACTGCGAAGATGTGCGTCAGATTTACGACCTTCTGAGAGACTTCACCGAAGTTGCAGAGCCTGGCGCTTACATCGCTGACATGTTCCCTCCTCTTGCCAATCTTCCATCGTTTCTCCAGTGGTGGCGTCCGGCTGCTATTAGGGCTTACGAAAGGCAGAGAAAAATCTGGATGCATTACTGGAATGGCTTGAAGACTTCGGTGGCCGAGAAGAAAGCCCCTGAGTGCTTCGTGAAGCAGTTCATGGAGTCAGACTTTGAGAAACTCGGCATTACCGATGTTCAGGCCGGTTTTGTTGCAGGCTGTAAGTATCGTATTAAGCTCTACTATTACTTGCATACGGAGCACTAACTCAAGTAAAGCCATGATTGAGGCCGGATCTGAGACAACTTCGTCAGCGTTGAATAGCTGCATTCTTTACCTGGCGGCGAACCCCAGAGTACAGGACATTGCCAATGAAGAGCTAACGAGGGTGATTGGCGACGAGAGATCGCCAACTTTTGCAGACGAAGCCAGCCTGCCCTACATCAGAGCAACTGGGAAAGAGGTCCTTCGCATCAGGCCAGTAACCACGATAGGAAGTCCACATTACACGACCTCGGACGTCGTCTATAAGGATTATTACATCCCCAAGGACACCGTCGTCGCGATTCCTCAATACGTGTTACATTTCAGCTCCGATAAATGGACCGACCCTGAAGATTTCAACCCATCACGTTACTTGGCGTATCCTGAAAAGGCTGGCTTTTACGCCGCTCAGGGAGACGCTAAAGCTCGTGACCATTTTGACTTTGGTGGAGGGAGACGCATCTGCCCTGGCATGCATCTAGCCGAGAACAGCCTGTTCATCACACTGGCTAAGATCTTGTGGGCCTTCAAGATTGAGCCGGCATTAGACCCGAATGGCAAGGAACTGCCGATAGATCTATCCGATGAGGCCTATGAACCGGGTATTAATACTCTTCCCAAGCCCTTCAAGGTCCGATTCACCTCACGCAACAACAGACGAGCTGAGGTTCTCAAGTCTGAATGGTTCCAAGCAGAAAGAGAAGGATTCTACTTGGGAAGCGTCAAAGTTGACACGAAGGGAATGGTTGTAGCATAGTTAGGTATTCGAAGAGCGCGACGGGGAGTAACGGAGGGCGATCCGCTCGTGTTCCGTCTTTCGAGTCATTGGTTGCGTTTCGTCCGAGCTGTAACATACAAGAACCACACGTCTGCATGGGTCAAACGGAGCATTAAGACCAATAGCAACCAGCATATTTGTACAAGGCCACCTCAGATCCAATGTTCTCAATGCCGGTGGACACAAATGCGATGAACCCCACACTTTTCCCCGCAACCGCCGAGGTAGCGAAGAGTTGATAATAACTTACTGATCAGCTAACTGCGCACGCTGCGGCGGCCCGCGGGCGTTCCCCATGTCCGTCTTGGCGCTATTTTGTCGATCCTTGATGACGATGCGGTCTGGTTGGTTCCTGAGGACGATACTCCAACAAACTGAGTCGTGTTTCCCATGTTCTCCCCAACAACGCCATAGAACTTACTGCTCGTCTTACTTTATTCTCGAGATACCCGTCATACACCTTATCGACAAACATCTTACTTTAGTTATCTCACACGTCACCAAACTCAGAATATTTGCACCTCATGTCCTCCACCACATCCTTACCCGTCCATGGGCCCGGACAAGTAGTCGCGTCGACGGAGACGGCAAAGGCAGGGGAAAAGCGTGCTCGCAGGACCGCTCGCCCTTATAAGTGTGCTCACTGCCCTAAGGTCTTCAAACGCAGTGAGCATTGTATTCGCCACGAGCGAAGTCATACAAACGAGAAGCCTTATGCCTGCCAGTACTGTTTGAAGACATATTCAAGAAAGTGAGGCTCCCTCAAGATAGCCTGGCACTGTCTGAGCGATAGTCAGAGATTAATCGGAAGGCAGAGACCTCGTCACGCGGCATGAAAAAACACTGCATGCGGAACACAACAGCAAAGTCGTCGATGATCCGTCTAATGATGATGATGACGATGCGTCGTCGGAAGCAAGTTCGAGTGAAAGGGAGCATGACCCTAAACGGCAGCGTGCCTATCGCACCCCTCTGAGCCAGGGCACCTCCCTGGGAGATGGCCCTAGGAGAGACTCTTGCTCTTCGACTCTAGTTTCCAATAGCATTGTGGTCTCAACGCAACCTAAGAAAATCTCGAGAGAGATTCACCAATTTCAGCAGCGCGGGCAGGCGGCTCCCACTCCTCCACAAACGCACAATATCTCCATCTCAGATTCTGCAGACGCCTTGGACATGTTTTTCGACACTCATCCCGAATCGATTTTTGGCAATAGTCGACCTCAAGATCTACCCATGACACAAGGGGCAGTCTTTGATCACCTGCGGACCCAACTCACTGAAGGAACCGCAAATAGGGGTCATGTGCCAAACGGGCACCCTTCGCTGCCAGAAAATGGCTCAGCTCTCGGCTCCTTGGACTCTTTTCTTGCAGATCCAATTTCTCAGTCGGTATTGCCTATATCTGAGGAGCCGTTTGACTTCGCACATGACTTTGGTTTTCTCGACACTCCAGATTGGATGGGATTATCGAACGCAGGCACTGGCCTTGAGGCTTCGAATAACTCGACTGCCAGCCCTCCAGAGAAGTCATGCTCCTTTGAGAGGAGTCTTCATCACGCAGATAAAGAGACTTGGTCAGAAACCTTGAAGTCTACATCCCAAGCCGCTATCGGGCGCAATCTTCCACGTCTGCTTGAGAATAAGCGATGTACGAAGCCAAGTCTTACCATGGACAAGCCCATGCATGACTCAATTTGCAGAGACGTGAATAAGAGACTTACTGGACCTGATATATCCAAGGACATCCCTCCGCTGAAGGCTTGTCAGAGCTTTCTCTCCAGTTACGTGGAGTGCTTTCATTGCCACTTGCCCCTGGTTCACCTCCAGACTATTTCGCATGGTGACATTCCTAGCCCCCTGATACTAGCTATGTGCAGTATTGGGGCTCTCTATCGCTTAGATCGCCGTCGAGCCCGGCGTCTTTGGGATCTTGCGCTGAGGCTGATTGAGCCAGTGAGTTACTCCTTCTCTGATCTTATATTCAAGGCGAACTTCAGAGCTAATGATTGTGTGCCCTGTAGATCCTCACGAGGGATTGTCCACTCTGGGTTATGCAAACGAAATTTCTCTTAACGTTCTTCGCGACATTCAGTGGCGACAAAGACTTGGCGGCCCAGTCTATAGGGGAGTGTAGCCATTACACTTTAGTAGGTTCCAGCCCATATTTCAGTGTTGCTATAATATGTAATAGAGAGACCAGAGTCAATACTTACATATTGATAGTTGTACGCAAAGATGCGGCGTCAGCTGGAACAAGATAACGCGGACCTCCTGAGTTCAACATGGGCAGACTGGGTGCAACGCGAATCATGGAAGAGACTCCTTGGTGCCATTTATGTGACAAACACGGTCAACACCATCATCTACGGCCTCAGTCCTGCCTTCAATGCCAGTCAAGATCTAGAAATTGAGCACTTCCATGACGAGAACCTCTGGAATGCGTTATCGGCCAATGAGTGGCGAGAACTGCGAGCCGCTTACAGAAAGAAGAACTCAAGAACCACCAAGGACATTCTGAAAGATGTTTTAGCCGAGAACACCGATGATTCCAGTTTCGAATCATACAACATCTCACCATTCTCTGCGCTCATCCTGGTACATGCTATCCTCATACACACCTGGCAACTCTCCCAACTCTCGGAAACCTCAGCGATTTTCTCCTTTCGTTCAATGACTGGGACTTCCTCTCTAGGGAGCTCTCTTCTCTCAAATGCCTTAATCTCTCTGGACAGGTGTCACGGGCTACTGAAGCAAACTCGAGAAGGTCAGCTTGAGGATATGGACGACAACGACATCACGTCGCTATGTTTCAGCTCACATGCGATCCTTAGAGCCGCCTACATCCGGCTCTTTGATAACACTAAGAGTTTCGACCGTCTCTGTCTGCTCGCTGAAGACCCAAGCACCATTAACAGCAACGTCACCACGTTCGCGAACACGAAGCTAGATAGGAACATCGACTGCGTGAAGGTCATCGAGAAGACGCTGGAGGGTATCCAGCTACCAGTGAAGATGGGCCACATGCTCATACGTAAGACAGCTGCTTTCCGATGGAGCATAGAGCATGCGGTTGCAGCTTGGGACAATGGTAAGTACAACTCCGCAGGTGAAAGACTGTGCACTATGCTCAACTAACATTAAATAGTACTATTCACCACGAAATGGGCTCACGCGATCGAATTAGACAGGAGAAGGGGCATCGAGCCCAGTGCAGCTGAACTAGGCCTGCTCATGAAGATCACGGACGTACTCGAGGAATCGGACTATGACACGGATGAGAGCACATCCCTCGCTGCAGGCTTAGCTAAAACTTGCAGTCTATTCCTTCAAGACGTAAGTTACTGATTCCAGTGATTGTCTTCTTTAGCACTTGATAACTGACGATGTGTCGCTAGGTATGGGTATGGGGTATCACAGTCAGGATGGGCGATATTCTAGAGCGATTGGCACGGGCATACGAGCGAGAGATGGAGGCTGCTGGGCCTGCATGTCAACCACAAAACTAGTGCATAGAAGGCGCGATCTGCATTGTACTATACGTGGGGAGGTATATCAAACCTATACCGTCCCGCAGGTGTGTGATCAGTCATCAAGAAACCAATGAAAAACCTTGTGCGGGCATGATATCTCCGCAGAGCTTCCCTGCTACGAGCACTCTCCCGTCCGAGCCAACCAGCCTCGCAACTAGTCCAACGTCATCATCAGATAAGAAACGGTTTCATTACTACCACTAAATCTTGTAAAGTGTATCAAAGCGTAGGTAGAGCATTATTGGACAAGACTGACTGATGAGACTAGCGCTAGAGTCAATATCAGCGGCATGAGGTGAGTGCTATGCCACAGTCTTCAAGATACCATTTCGAGCGACTCCGAGGCTTCGATGACGCTTAACGTGAACTGACAAGCCTGGTTTATTGGAAAATAGTCCAGCATGACGTTCCGTGTAGCAAAAGCAGCCGATGCTCAGGGCGCGATGAATGGCTTGACGTGTTGCTGACGCGATTCTCACAGCAGCTGCATGTGGGGGAGCTATCAAGCTGCTCGAAATCCCATGCGGGGTAACGTGGGGTAGCTATCAGGAGCTTCAGCAGCAAGACAGAATACATCGCGGGATTCGCTCCGGGTGATCCGGTCGCTCGCCTTCAGGATGTGGAATCAATATCGCTCACCAGCTTGAAGTTAAGTCGATAAACCAGAATCTAATTCAAGCTGCCGGGTTGAGGATATCTGTTTCTGAAGTCTTTATTGAAATCTCCGACCAAATTGACTCCTGCGCGTATATTACCTTAGCCACATTGAAGTCATCGGCCAACCGAGCATTTTCTCTATCTGTATCAACTTTTTGACGAGCTATTCTGAACTTCCAAAAGCACTGAATAATCAAGATGGTCTCAAATGACCAAGATTTCGATCACCCAATCATTGGGAAAGTGAAGGGCAAAGCATCCGACGGAGTAATCCAGTTCCTCGGCCTCAAGTATGCTACTCTACAGCACTGGTTCGACAATGCGAAGCTTGTCCAGTACGATGGCAGTGGACTCAACGCTACACGCCACGGGTGTGTTATCCTCATGTTTTGTGGTAACACCAAATCACTTAGTTAATCGTGTTTATCAGTCCGCAAGCCGTATCCGACCCAGACGGAGTGAAGAATGAACACATGATCATTCAGAAGTCGCTCCCAATACCCGAGTTCCCCGGTCTCTCGGGGACCGAGAGTCTCAATCTGAATCTCACAGCGCCCCTGGAGATTGGTGACCTAAAGCAAGTGCCAGTTCTGGTTTTCATTCACGGCGGAGGGTTCGGCACGGGATCCAACTGGTGGCCTCAGTATGATACCAAGCGCATAGTCCAACATTCAAACAAGCTTGGGAAGCCCATCATCGCCATCAACATCAAGTATAACATATCTTCCACAAAAACACCGTTCTAGCTTTCGTAACTAACATCTGATAGTTACCGCCTCGGAATTCCTGGATTTCTGACATCTGAGGAGCTTCGCAAAGAAGGATTCAAGAGCAATCAAGGTCATCATGATCAGAGGGTGGCTTTGGAGTGGGTGGGAAAATACGTGTCGGGATTCGGGGGAAATCCTCAGAGTGTGACCGTTGTAGGTGAAAGCGCTGGTGGCAGTAAGTCTCATCCGTCGGTCCTTCGGCCTTTCGGTCTCGAAACCGAGACCGCATCTCTTACTTTTTTCTAGTCTCGGCGGGCCGTCTATTATACTCTGAGAAAGCTCTTGCCTCTCAACTCATTATCTTGGGAGGCTCGCCGCCGTCCCTCGCACCCCTGGAGCTCGGTGTGGCTGAGCAGGCGTACAAAGGCGTTGTAAAAGCTTTGGGAGCTGAAGATGTGAGTTCGAGTGAACGTATCAAGATCTTGTCAAGGGCGTCCCCCGAAGAGCTCTCCTCGAAGATTGGCAGAAGCCTTCCTTTCCTGCCGGTTCTCGATGAAGAAACAGTCCCGTTCGTGCCGACGTTCGAGACGGCGTCAGCTGGGAAGCTAATTCCCAAGACAACATCTTGTAAAGCTATCATGGTCGGGTACGCCCCCTTGGATGTGAGTACCATCAATATTTCGGTCACATTCTCGGCTTAATGTAACTAAACCAACCACACAGGCGAGCATATTTGGGTTTATGGGTCTCTTCCAGCGAAAGGAGAACATCGCAGCCTCGTTCACGCAAATCATCAACACAGCTCTGTCACACCATGCGGGCATTGCTGCGCAGATTCTGCAGGCATACGACATTAATGACACCACAAACGACGATGAGGCTTTCATCCGAGTTCTGCAATTCGCCTCTGATATTGGATTTCGGGCAACGGCAGAGTCATTTGCCAACAGCTTTCACGGCGACTCCTATTTGTTGGAGTTTGCCGAGCCCAATCCGTGGGAAGGGCCATTTAGGGGCTACAGCACCCATGTCCTCGACGTGGCATTCCTCTTCCAAAACTATAAGGAACATCTTGGAGAGGAGCAGCGAAAGTCCGCCGAATCATTTGTCACCGACATAGTTGACTTTGTTCATGGTCAAGCTCCATGGAAGCGGTTTCAAGATGCCGGCGGGCGGGTGGTGTACCAAGATGGGACGAGAGCTTACAAGGAGGCCGGGGCTAGCACGGCAGGATATGATTTGCTGCTCAAGTTGGGTGAAAAGATTGGGCTGGACACACTACTGAAGGGTTGGGAGGCATTCCTGTTCCATCAATAGATGGTCCACGGACCAACTGGGGAGCTTCAGGCGAGGGGATGCTTGTCAAAGGCATCGGGTGGTATTTATCAATTCTCAGAAGAATCTCCCGTATTGTCGGCACGTTTACTGGTTATCTTCCCAACGGTCTCTACTCCCTGAATCTGTGATCAAAACGCCAAACACTCGTTGCTTCAAGAATTTCACGTGTGGCACACTTTCAATATGTCTGTGTGCTTTCAACGGCCTTCGGAATTCCTGATCGGTACCTTCACGCGAAGAATCACGAGATCTCTTGGTAATTGAGTGATAGTTTAACTGCACTTCAACGGCGAATCTGAAGGGGTGTGTGTGTTTATGTGTGTGTATGTGTGTTTTTGCCGCGGAAATAGTCACCTGATGCGGGGTCGACTTGCGAAGATAGAGCTCCTGACCGCGGGGAAACCATCATTACTCATCCAGTGTCCTCCACTTGACACTTGGTCTTTCGTCCGGTGTATCCTGTCCCACGGAGATGACCTAGAGCTCGGATTACAGTTAGAAATCCTGTCAGAATTAGCGTAACTCTGTTTGTTCTTTCCTATGCCATTGGAATAACGATGGCCTATACTCTCGAAAGCAAATCTCTGGGTTCAACTCTATGTGGCGTTGATTTAGGGACGATCGCACAGTTTAGAGGCATCCCATATGGCAAGATTGTTTCGCGATTTGCCAAACCCGAGCCATTAGTGGCACTGCCGCAAGACATCAACTGTACTGAGTTTGGGTACGTTCTTTCTGACATTCGGTCTGAACATTTGTCGGTGAAGGAAAGGCTGACTAGTTCTCGTGTTCACAGCCCTCGGTGTCCACAAGTCAAAGTTGATGTAGGGCATCTATTGCGTATACCTCCTGAGCACAGGCTACCCGTTGAGGCCGAAGATGAGTTTCGATGCCTCAACTTGGACGTTACGGTGCCCAAATCACAAGAACTGCTGACGGCTCAAAGATTACCTGTTTTGGTCTGGATACACGGTATGCTTGTCAAAGTCAGGGGCTGATGTTTTGACTAACACGGACATCTCAGGCGGCTCACAGGCGGTTACTTTTGGAAGCGCGGCCTCTGGCGTGTGCGGTACGAACTGCGCCCTGCTTTCCGCTATGTCCCCTTATCCGCCCCCAAAGGATCCTTCGTGAAATGTATCGTACTAGCGCTAGCATACTAGGCACTGACAGCTGCAAACTTTAGACACGAGAAGAATAGTGGAAGATTCCGTGAACTTGAGTAAACCCGTCATCGTCGTGACAGTTCAGTACAGACTCAACATCTTCGCGTTCGGAAGCGAAAGTAGCTCGAGTAACCTCGCTCTGCAAGATCAATCATTGGCTCTCAAATGGGTCACTGATCACATTCCGGATTTTGGAGGTGACCCGGTAACAAGTCACATTCCCATCTGCCAAAGACGGGAGACCACTGACAGGCTTCCGTAGAATGATGTCTCACTGGCTGGAGAAAGTGCTGGAGCGGTATACTGCCACGCCCACATAGCGGCTGGCCTTGAAGTAAGAAGAGTCATACTCTCTTCTGGCTCGCTGTACCTTTCTCCTCCTCAGCCAAGGACAAAGGCTTCTGTTTTACGCCAAACACTCGTGAATCATCTTGGTACACTGGGTGACTTTGACTTGAGCACAGCCCCTGTTGAAAAATTGGTGAAGGCCATAGAACTGGCTGGAATACATTCATGGTTCCTTCAAGTGGATCCTACTCTTGTTGGGTGGGAGACAGCAATAGGGGCTGCGGAGAGCGTGATGATAGGTGATGTTCGAGACGAGGTATGTGTTGTACCCATGGGCTTGAACTGGTTGCCCTCCTTCCAATTAACCTTCACAAATAGGCCGTTCTCTGGCGAGAGGGCATATGGAAAATGGAAGCTTCAGAGATTGCTCAGGCATTCAGCTATGCCGGCGAACACCAGGACACGCTCAAAAAACTCTACAACATTCATTCTGACAGAGCCTCCGCTTCCAAGATAGGGGCGTTGGACTTCATGAATGACTACAAATTTCTTCTCCCAGCGGAGAACATTGCTCGCCTATTTAGGGCAGCAAACAAACCCGCCTATCGATATCTCGTTGATGAGTGCAACCCCTGGCAACCCTCAAATGGAGCTCATCACGCGGTGGATTTGCTTTTTCTCTTTGGGGGATTTGATCTTTCATTTGCTCCTGGTGCACAACAGACTGGAGAGCAGATGCGCAAGTCAGTGATCGAATTCCTTCACGCCCAGGAGCCGTGGCAGTTGGGTAGCTATGCAGCGTTCGGACCCTACGGGATGTTTCAAGAACTTGATAGCGTCGGCGTCAAGCTCCGGAGACGATCGGAACAGGCGGAATTTCTGCATTCGGTTCCTTCAGAGATCTTGGATAAGGTGTTCTTTGCCCTTGCGGCCGGCCGGATCAGCTTACTAAACTGATGGCAGCCACGGAGTGCGTCACAATAGTACGCATACACGTACGAATAGTAGTTCAGTAGTAGTCTGGTAATTTCAATATCTCCAAAGTTTGGCAAGTCTTTCCAGTTTTGATTTTCCAGATTCCCGCTATCATTGGTCCTGCCCAGAATCGGAGACATATGACTCGCCCGACCAGACTTGACAGCATCTTGGATCGCTCTGATGCCAAACTAGACTAGAATGTGCTTGTGGCCTGCCCTGCGATACGTGCGTTCGTGGACCATGTCCGTATGCCTGTTCGTGTCGGCCTCTCGAAATGCTACCACCTGCCTCACATGGGTCCTCTTTCCGACGGGACGACGGTTGCGGGGTTTAACTCGCTGCTTTTTGACAAAGAGACTCCGCAAACCGTTCGATTTTTGAAATACAGCCATGCCGAAAATAGTCAGGCCAACAATCAGTGGGCCACCTAGGTGCCTGATGAAGAGAAAACTAAGGCAATCTAATTAGATAGTACCCCATGTGGGGGACACACACAACATTGTTACATCGCTGAGTGATGGATGGTGGGGTCCACGGGTGTTTGTGGAGGCCACGTCCGGCGAGCGTTCATCCTGGATGTGGAGGAGTTCCGGTGCCCGCGCCGGTGATGGGCGCGGGGGAACGGGGATCATGCGGTATTCACATGAGACGTAGAGTGAGTGAGCAACGCATCATCGAATGTAACTTCCAACGCATTCATAACTGCAAAGGTTCTTTTACTTCAAAACAGACCCTGAGTGTACTCCGTGGATTTGCAAATGCACACGCCCTTACTGTATCTTACATTTGACCTGAGCCACACATTATTACACGTACGGATACACCGTACATCAAATTTACCAGATAATTATCTTCGCGTGAACCCTCCAGAGCCACGTCTTTTCGCAATATCCCCATAGCAATTGGGTGACCGAACCTTCTTTGACAGGCACACCTCCCCTCTCTGACTAGCTAGCCATGTCCCCAGGGCTGAAAAATGTAAACACGCTGGCCTGTCCGCTATCAAACTTTGACTGAGCATACCCTTTAGGTTATCATTGTCGGGGCCGGCCCTGCTGGGCAGCTGCTAGGGCTGCTTCTGGGTCGGGACGCCATTCCCGTTACGATCGTCGAGCAGACATTGGAGCTCGACGATAAGCCCAGAGCCACCCACTACGCTCCACCGGCGATGAAGGTCCTGAATCGCGCCGGCCTGGGGAGCGACCTGCGGAAATACGGGTTTCTTCCCGATGGAGTTGCATGGCGCAAGCCAGACGGGACGCGCATTGCGGGCATCAGCAACGAGATTGACGGTGATGATCCAGATCGCATGGTTGCACTGCCCTTGTGCGACCTGGCGCGGTTGATCTACGATCACTCGAAGCATCTACCATCCGTCACGTACCTGTTTCATCATCGGGTGACAGCAATCGGTCAGGACGATTCCCGTGCCTGGGTCGACGTGGAGAACGGGGACACAGGGGACAAGTCACAGCTTTTTTGAGACTTTGTTATTGGGTGCGACGGGGCTAACAGTATTGTCCGGCGATCGTTGTTTGGGAACGAATTTCCTGGCAAGACATGGGATGAGCAGATTGTGGCCACGAACGTAGGTTATACCTTCTTTCGGCCCGTTGTCGATGTGGTCCTCTCTATCGAGAAGTCCGGGTGCTCGAGTGTCAGGTCGACGAACTGATGATCTCACAGGTCTACTACGACTTTAGTCGCTTTGGGTACTCAGACTCCAACTTCATTCTAGACTCAAAGGACTGGTTCATGGCGGCCAAAATCACCAAAGATGGCCTATGGCGTGTAACGTATGGTGAAGCTACGGGCTCGACCCCCGAAGAGATTCTCGGCAGGCAGCCGGAGAGGTTTAGAAGTATACTACCTGGACACCCTAAACCGGACGAGTACAAGCTCGTCAGTATCAGCCCATACAAGGTCCATCAACGGCTAGCCAAGAGAATGATTGCCGGCCGGATTTTGCTCGCTGCAGATGCAGCGCACCTCTGCAACCCCTTGTAGGCATCTTTGCTCTTTTCGCTCGGTAATTTCCGTGGCCCGTAGCGCGCAGGTTGTGCTGACGATCGTCATGGTAGTGGGGGTCTCGGCCTCACCGGCGGCATCGTCGACGTCGAAGGCCTCTACGAGTGTTTGTCCGGGATACATCGCAATAAGGCGAGCCGGAGCATTCTGGAAGTCTACGACCAAGTGCGGCGACAGAAGTATCAAGACATTATTGACCCGATATCCAGCGAGAATTTGCGACGCATGTTCAGCGTCCACCCCGACGAGGTGCTGGCTTCCGACCCGTTCCTCAAGCTTTGCAAAGATGCTGAATCGGATCAAGAAAAGCTGAAGGAACTGAGCAAGGTGAGTTTGGATGACAGGCCACTCTGACGTTTTGATCGTTATTTCTTTTCGGTTTCGCAGTTTGGCTCACAAAAAGGTTCTCCTGGCAGGGCGCACAAGCACTGGGCTATGACTTTACGAAGCATTACACTTCTGGAGATGGTGGTGTAGGAGGGGGACTAGGCACTCGTCTTTAGCAACAAATAAGCTGAGCTAGCAGCGAAATAGAAGACTCACCGGCCCAAATCGATTGGTTCTCGGGAGAAGCCGAACCACCATAGCAGAAAAAGACCCGGCACTGGGAGCATTGTTTGCCGCAATAGGCTAAATGCAAATATGCTCGATGTTGTCGAATCTTTGACAATGCATGAACTGTCAAACTGAACCAGCAGAATGGTAGCTTCTGCCACACCGTTGGTCAGCCCTGTGCGCCTGGCTACTACTACGGTATTAGGCCAAAGTTTAACCCCCTTGTCAGGTACCGGTGGGGATGGCCCGTGCCTGCCTTCCATGGGCAATTCGACCAATCAGAAGCCACTATTTTAGCACAGGCCTACTAATTAGCCTAGCCTAACTTTTTTGCTAATTACGAATTCTTCCTCCTATATACTACCTACCTACCTACTTATCTTACTTTTAATAAATTATTATAAATATAGTACGGCTAATAAGTAGTATAATAAAGTATTTTACTAAGGCCGATTATTAGTAGATTTATATATTATATATTAATATAAAATTTACGTAGGCTTAAATAGTTAAATTAACTAGATTTATAAAAAACTAAGTCCGTATAGCTATAAGGGCCTCGTTAGTAATAATTATACTACGTTTTAACTACCTATAGGTTATAACTTTATAATAAAAAGAGGCCCTTATTAAGTACGTTATTTTTTTTAAAGATAGTTACTAAGCCTCTTTTTTATTATTTTTAATTATACTTTTTTTTTTAATTTAGTACTTATATAATATAAATAACTTTATATTAACTTAGGTTTTATTATTATATTACCCGCTATAAGCCCCCTATATTTAAAGCTAATTAAATTAAGTATTTTACTTAGGCCTAAGAGTATTTTTATTAAATTATTAAAGACTAGTAAAAGGTTTTATAGATAGATAAAATATAGGTTATAGGTAGTTATTATTATAAGCTTTATATTACTTATTATTATAATAAGGAATAGGACTTAACGTATATTATTAAAAAGTATTAACGTAAGCGGGGTTAGATATTCTAGGGATATTTTTCTAAGGATCGGAAGGGACTAAGTATTTTTTAAAAAAAGGATTAGGGTAGTATACGTACTAATACTTATTAAGAATATACTATACTAATTATTAATAGTTAGATTTACTTTTATTAGTAAATATATAGTAATAACTTTATTTTAATATAAGATAGTACCCTAGTATATAACGTAGAGTTAACTTAGTAAGAACTTAATAACTATAGCGTTTATTTAATATTTTAGCCGCTTTTTTTATCTAACTTTAACCTTATTAAAACGTATTAGAATTAGATAAAGGATTATATATAGGAGCTTATAAATATATAAGAAAACCCCTTATATAACGTATTATAATAATAAGTTAAAAAGGCCTAGAATGCCCTTTTAAAAAACTTCTTATACTCGTTATTAAGTATAATACCCGCGCGTTACTAAGTAATAATTAATATTAATAAAATATATATTAAATACTAATTTAGTTATAAAAATTAATTGAGATCTAATGATTATTGATTATATTAGTTATTTAGTACTAACGATCTGACTAGTGCGTTAACCCTTGTCTGTGGATTAGTACCGAGCCAGGGGATTAAACTTACCCCTATAGACTAAGTAAGGATGAATTGCCGACAACTAAACTTTTGAAAAGCGTAACAGACAGACTGCATTCGGGACACCCGATGGCAAGCTCGTCCAAGCACACGAGATCTCGCAACCCACAAGGGGGTGACGGGGGGGAGGGTGTGTAGGGAAAAACTCTGACCAAAAGAAACAGCGAGGAGAAAACATTGACCTGTGGGTGATCCGTTTCTTCTGCCCTGCACAGAGTCGGCTCGCAACTGTGCCCTCTCAAGGGAAACAGGGAGAGGGAGGGCAAGCGCCGTGAGCCACAATAAGCGCAGGAGCTGTCAAATCAACAAGAAGCGCAAAGAAAGTTCGCCGGATGTTCGATCTCACGGTAATTCGCTTTCGCTATCCCTGAAAGCTTCTGGTTCACTTAGCTTTGTGCAACCCAAGGAGAAAATAGCTACCCGTGCAAGCCTCTCGAATGATTACCCGGCAAGTGGGCAATTTTGGCTAGTTCTTGTCTGGCAATACCTCCGCTTACCAGGTCGCCGTGCAATGGCTGAACCTTAATAAAGACACATCACGGAGCGGTCCGATTGGGAGGGAACAGTGATAGGCCAGACAAGGACGCTGACCATCACTTCTCACTTATACGCTGCAAGTCCCAAGCGGCAAGCCAGCATACCAGCGGGTGATTATACGACAGGAATGGACGTGAAAGATAGCACATAGGGACCCGTAAGGAAGTGGAAGGGGGTGCAGGCTGGCGATAATCAAGGGTGTTTCTGTTCGACCGAGCTTGAGATTCATGGCGACCTAAAAGAGACATGTGAAACCACAGCTGCCCGAAAAAGGGCATAAGGGAAAAGGATGAAATGTTCGGGGGAATTTGGCATCTAGTGTCTGATAACAATAAGGTTTGAGGCTGCCCCCGAAGGGCGCATTTGACGGCAATTTGGGAAGCCCACCGGCAGGCTTCTCTCGGGGGTTGCTGGCGCTGGTGAAAAAAGAAAAAAAAAAAAGAGAAGCTGAGGCCAAGAAGCCGGTCCCCGGTCGACATTCCACGAGTAGAGACGGACGGTTGAATAGCAGCCCTAACAGCGAGAATTGTGGCTGGGCTCAGACTGACTGTTTCCAGGCAACCTTACTGGGACGGGGATGACGTCGGCTAGCCGACGCCACGTAAACTCTATTTGTATGACGCTTTTTCTTTTTTGTGTTCCAAAGGTTGAGCCCCTGTTCGTGTTATGTATGTGCTGGAGTGTGTGTGTGGCATGTCCCTGTGTGCGTCCTCTGAGTGTGAGTAGCTAGAAGGTATGAATGTGTGTGTCGGGGGCCGCTAGTACGGAGTACACCAGTCAGTCAAGTCAGTCATGTCAGGTATATCGGGTCATACAAGGGGTTAACTCGGGTTCAAGCGTCACTGTCACGACTCTGACTTGCAGTAGTGTTGAGTTGTAAAAGTGTCAAGTTGCGAAAGGTTGCTCCAGCTCGACGAAAGGGAGACTAGGCCGAGCCAGCCCGTTTCCTCGGGCATGCTTCCGTAGCAGTGCAGCGGCAGTAGCAGCAGCCAAAAACACGTGAGGAGAAAACCTTTTTGTCGAGCCGTTTGCAACTGTGGCTGTGACGGCGCCGCTAACAAATACAACAAGCGACAAAAGTGTATGATGCCGAGGCGGATCGTTCTGCCCAGTTCCACCCCCCCTTCCGCCTCGGAATTTCTGCCCACGCAGTAATTCGGTTCTGTCTGCCCATCGACGATCCTTGCTTGACCAGGTTAGGCTGGCGTTTGATGGGCTAGACTCTGGCTACGTGCTCCTCGTCTCTCTCGACTGATGCTCACTCGCAACACACCCACCGGGCCACGGTACAACACCCACACCTCTTTCTCCTCCTCAGCCATAGATACATGTATACACACCCAGGAGGAGAAGAACAGACTAAGACAGGCTCGGCTTACCTTGCTTTGGCACAACTGACCCCACCTCCAGAGCAAAGACGAGCAGGAAGGTGGACCCTGAATATCTCGCAGTGATCAGTCTCACTGCGTCCTCGTTCTCTTCTCCGCCGTTAAAACTGTGCTGGCCTCCCACACTCTTCGGTTGAAAGTTGATGCCTGGTGCCGTTACCCGCCCGCAGGCCAGCTATGATACCCAGTAATCAACCGTTTGACAACGATAGAGACAAGCTTCGAACCGTCCTTCTTTAGGCTGTCTCTTTTGACACGTTTTTTGGTTCCTTTTTATTTTTCTTGATCCTTTAACCCTCGGCAAACGGTTGTCGATTCTTTCGATTTACCGCCATCAACCCACCCGGACATGGTGTTGAAGCGTCGACTAGTTGATTTCCAGCGCGAACAAGATCCCTTCGCCGTCAAGGTGTTTCTCCCGCCGACCGATCATTACCGCCAACGCAACTGGATCATGACGTCCCCGGAGCAGCAGATGGACACCCTGCGAGAAGGTCTTAGCCGGGTGATTCTAGACCAGCTTGCGGAAACTCTGCGGGATTATTCGTCTGGAAACTTGGCGAACCCGGTGCTTCGATTTGAAGCTTTCATTCAGGACGGCGAGCCGGGAACGCAGGGGCAAACACCCCGCTCTCCCGTGGTTTCGGTAAGTTGCATCTCCATGTTTATCATCGCGGGCTGGACCGCGCGTTGGCGCCGGAATGTGTGCAAGTGTTCAGCTTTCGTGCTGCCCGTGGACTCCAGTTCTACAGCGCAGACAATCCCGGAGATACCCAATCAAGACAGATAAAGAGCGGATGACTCAGCATCAACCGATTCACTGCTGGGTCTATTTCACTTGCTCCTCCGTGTTGTGGCATGGGTGGTTGGGTTGCAGGTTGGGTACGAGAGGGTTTTCTGCTAACCACCATCACCAACTATACAGAAAATGGTAGACTTGTCTGGCATCATTTCACAGAGCGCAAATAATAGCCCGAATACGAGCCATGCGGGAAGAGAAAACACCATCGAACACCCGACACCGCCCACCATCAGCCCGCAATTGATGATGGACGATGTCGCGGCAAGCGCCAGCCGGGCTTTTGTCCGGACACAACGGACGCCATCCCAAGGACCGCCACAAATGTCACCCGAGACCGATGCAAATGCTTTTATTCAAAGAAGAGGAACGGGAGCTCTACGACCAGTCAGGGGAGCCGCTCCAGTGGAGGAAGAGCAGCCTGACAGCCAGAGGCATATGCAGGTTGCCAACAACTTTCCTAAACGCGCAAAGATTCAGACAGACGTCGTCTTCATCCCACAACAGTCGTCCATTGACAAATTCGTCGTCAGCGTTTGGGAGCAGATCCACGGTGGTATCAGCTTAGATCCCCAGAGTCTGCTTGAACAGTGGCAGCTCACGGCAACGGCAGCAACAGCAACCATCAAC